GAAAGGAGGAACAAGAAGGCAGCAATCAATGTCAGCCGAACAAGAGCAGAGAAAGTTAAGGCGCAAGCCGAGTATACAGAAGCAAACAGGGAAGTGAAGAAAAGCATCAGAGCTGACAAACGAAAATATGTGGAAGATCTAGCAATGACGGCGGAAAAGGCTGCAAGAGAAGGAAACTTGAGACAATTGTACGAAACAACAAAGAAGCTGGCCGGAATCTATCATAAACCAGAACGACCAGTGAAAAGCAAGGAAGGCAAAGTAATCAGCAACACTGAACAACAGCAAAATAGGTGGGTAGAGCACTTTAAGGAACTATTGAATCGACCAGCTCCACTGAAACCACTCAACATCGAAGCAGCATCCACGGACCTCCCAATTAATATTGGCGCACCTACAATTGAAGAGATCAGTATGGCCATCAGACAAATCAAGAGCGGCGAAGCAGCAGTACCAGACAACATTCCAGCAGAGGCAATGAAAGCAGATGTAGAAGCAACTGAGAAAATATTTCACATCCTCTCCAAGAAGATTTGGGATGAGGAACAAGTAACATCAGATTGGAAAGAAGGATACCTGATCAAAATACCAAAGAAAGGCGATCTCAGCAAGTGTGAGAACTACAGAGGCATAACTCTTATTACAATACCAGGCAAAGTCTTCAACAGAGTATTGTTAAACAGAATGAAGGACTTCGTAGACGCCCAACTTCGAGATCAACAGGCCGGATTTCGTAAGGATCGATCGTGTACTGACCAAATAGCTACATTATGGATCATTGTGGAACAATCAATTGAATGGAACTCACCACTCTACATCAACTTCATCGACTACGAGAAAGCATTTGATAGCGTGGATAGTAAAACACTGTGGAGGCTTCTTCGACACTATGGTGTACCTGAGAAAGTAGTCAACATCATACGGAATTCATATGATGGATTCAACTGCAAGATCATACACGAAGGACAGCTAACAGACTCCTTTGAGGTGAAGACCGGTGTGAGGCAAGGTTGCTTACTCTCACCCTTTCTCTTTCTCCTGCTCATCGACTGGATTATGAAGACGTCAACATCTGGAGGGAAGCACGGTATCAACTGGACAGTTAGGACGCAGCTGGACGATCTGGACTTCGCAGATGACCTGGCTCTTCTATCTCACACGCAACAACAAATGCAAGATAAGACGACCAGTGTAGCAGCAGCCTCTGCAGCAGTAGGTCTCAACATACATAAAGGAAAAAGCAAAATTCTCCGATGCAACACAACATGCACCAACCAAATCACTCTTGATGGAGATGCCTTGGAGAACGTTAACACCTTTACATATCTGGGTAGCATCATCGACGAGAAAGGTGGATCCGATGCAGATGTGAGGGCATGGATTGGCAAAGCAAGGGCTGCATTTCTACAGTTGAAAAATATCTGGAACTCCAAACAACTTTCAACCAAAACCAAAATCAGGATTTTCAATACAAATGTGAAGACAGTTCTACTGTATGGAGCGGAAACATGGAGAACTACCAAAGCCATCATCCAGAAGATACAAGTGTTCATTAACAGCTGTCTACGCAAAATACTTCGTATTCGTTGGCCAGACACCATCAGCAACAACGAACTGTGGGAGAAAACAAACCAGATTCCAGTGGATGAGGGAATCAGGAAGAAGGGGTGGAAGTGGATAGGACACACACTACGAGAAGCACCCAACTGCGTCACGAGACAAGCCCTCACATGGAACCCTCAAGGCAGAAGGAAAAGAGGAAGGCCAAGGAACACACTACGCCGAGAAATAGAGAAAGATATGAGAGGAATGAACAAACATTGGACAGAACTGGAGAGAGAAGCCCAGGACATAGTTGGTTGGAGAAAACTGGTGGGCGGCCTATGCTCCATTGGAGGTAACAGGCGTAAGTAAGTAAGTAAGTTTAATGATCCTAGGTCCATGAGATTCCCATCCTATCAGTGCCTTGTGTGCATGTTTGGACAGCATCAGTGCAACTCCTTGTGTACGTGAAGCGTTTTCCTCTTCATGAGCAGAGTATAACAGCAGTTAACCTGAAGCTAGTCTCAATTGTCCTACCTGTGTCCAATGCGTTTCGCTGATGCCGAGCACCTCGAGGTTGTATCTTTTCATTGCTGCCGCAACTTGAAATAGTCTTCCAGTCTCCAGCAATGTATGAACGTTCCATGTACCTAAAAGAATGGTTGCTCTGGTTGTCAGAAGAGGCATCGGCCACGTGACTTCCGAGGGAACTCGGCTTTCATCACGCGACGTCATAATTCTTCCTCCAACTCCCAGGGCAGAGTTAAAATGGTTTGAATTATTTTTTCTGGTTAGCGTTTTTTTGGCAAGTTAGTTTAAGACGGAATGGGGTCGCCAACCCCATGTCCAACCCTCCTCCTTCATCCGGGCTTGAGACCGGCAGTAGCCCAGTAGGTTCTACTGGCGGAATTTAGTCGACTAAAGATTTCCTTAAAATGCTTTAGCAACGTGTTCCTCTTTTCTTCATGGTTGTTGATGACTTTGCCTCCCTTGCTTTTCACTGTTCGAGTTGGTTTACAATAAGTTCCAGCGAGCCTCTCTGTTGTATGGTACAATTGTCTCACGTTTCCTTCTCTTGCTGCCTCTTACGTTACATTGCTAAATCTTTCACATATTTTCGTTTGTTGGCTCTGATGCTTTCTTTCACTTGCCTGTTTGGTTCTTTTTATTCAGTCTGTGCCTCAACTTTCTCTGCTCTTGTGCTGCTGACGTTAATTGGTGCCCTCTTGTTCCTCGTTTCTTGAATTTTGCCAAGAGAGTACCAACAGAGATCCATTCCTTGTGATGGTGCTTCTTGTGACCCAGAATATCCTGACATGTTGAAGTGATTGCTTGTTTGATCGCTCCCTAGTTGTACTCCATGGTTGTTTCGTCTTCATTGAGTATATCGTGCAAGGCCTGGAATCTACTGCTGAGGGCTATTTTGAATTTGTAGAGTTTTAAGGTATCCTGAAGAAAGGCCGTATTAGACTTCTGTGATGTTGTCTGTCCCGTTGTCCAGTGTTTCTTTAGTTCAGTTTCATTTTGGCGATCAGCAAATGGTGATCTGAGTGTATATCAGGTCCTCTCTTTGCTCTCAATTGCTCCATCGTCTTTCTGTTTGGACAGCATCAGTGCGACTCATTCTGTATTTGAAACATTTTCCTCTTCATGGCCAGAGTATAACAGCAGTTCCCCTTAAGCTTGTCTCAGTTGTCCCACCTGCGTCTAATGTGTTTCAAAGCATGTTGTATCTTTTGATCTCTGCTGCAACTTTAAATAGTCTTCCAGTCTCCCACAATGTTCGAACGTTCCATGTACATAAAAATATCGTTGTTCTGGTTGTCAGAAGGGGCACTGACCTTGGCTTTCATAATGAGAAGACGTAATTCTTCTTCCAACTCCCGGAGTTAAAATGGTTTGGATTATTTGTTCTGGTTAGAGTTTTTTGGTAAGTTAATTTTTTGGTGAATGGGGTCCCCAACCCGATGCTCAACCCTCCTCCTTTATCAGGGCTTAGAACCGACAGTAGCCCGGAAGGCTCTACAGGCAGAGTTAAGTGTAGATCTACATGTTAGCTAATGAAATTCACAGTACCTGTAGTAAAATTGATCATATAACATTGCGTAAATGATTGAATCCAATTGGATGAGAAGATAAATCAGTCTGTAGAGATAAAAGGATAAAGCTTTTGATATGCACTAAGAAATTAAGACAAGATACATGTGTACTAAAATAATTGGATTTGTTCTTTTTCGAAGTTTCATGAGTTGGATTCTGTTGCGGTACATTTTCTTGGATACATTTTAATGTCACTCATAATGATTGGATTTATGGACTGGTTGTATATGCGACTAAAGTAAGGAATTCTCGATACAAACTGTAAAAACGCATGAAAACGTCCTCCATTAAGTATGATTTGTTTGTGAGTATAGGAAGTGAACATGTAAACATCGTTATTACATTTTAATATTCAATGGTCTTCTGTTAGTTGTACCATGGAAACTTATTTTAATCACATCAGAATGTATACTATAGGAAACGTTATGACGGACGTGTATAATGGTTTACGTGCAATTTATTGTAGTGACACCCCTTTTTACCAATCGACAGACAGTCAGAAAATATGGTAACTAGTAGCCCACCAAAGTTCGAATCCTGAACCTTGAAATCTTTCTATGAGCGATTATTCTTTGACCGAGTGATTGCGCTTCCTACGATTCTCAATTCTAGGTCTAATCAATGTAGTCTCTAACAATTTGGTAGATGTTTTATCAATATGCGTAAGTGAATAATCCAGAAAACGATCACGATTAGTTAGGGAAAGCAAATCCTAAACGGGAAAGAATTTAAAAATATAATACAGTTGGAAAACAGCTAGCTTGGAGGTTTCAGATTGACACCGTAATAGTTTTCACCTAAATGTGAATTCCTAATCTCATAGAGGTGATACGTTGTTTACGGTGTACTGAAGATTGATGTATCACACACAACAGAATTTTCCGTTTCAGGGAATTATTAACTCGTAAAGTTTGTTTAATACTAGTTTATTTGAAGGAAATATGGTTGTTTACTTAATTGCGAATTTTCTGTATGTTGCATGTTGATTGCCCTTAGTTGTCCATCTATAGATTTTCATACATTAGGCAGTATTTTAAATTTGATTTAACTCAAATCACCAGCAGTTACAAGAATGGTTTTTTGACTTGATCACGTTGAACGTTTCACAGAGGGTATGTTACACTGAGATCCTAGCTGTGAACTGAACTACTGTGATGTTTGTTTCGATAACGCCTTGGCTGTTTTTTTCAAGAATCACGTTTGCAAACATCCTAACTGCATTGTCTTATTTATTCGTTACTTAATCTGTGTTCATCATAACTACCTGTTAATCGTTGTCTATGTTGTTTTGATTTCGTCCAAAAGAAATACTTCAATTGATTTGTGTATTTTCTTTCATTGTAAAGCAATCCTTAGAATTGAAAGTCACGCAGTTGGAATCGGAAATCAAAGAGTTAAAAACTAGAGTTGAATGTATTGATAATGCTAACCTGAAGTCTTCAGTATCAATACAAACAGATTTGCCAATCTCAAGGTCAATTTTCTGCACAAAAATGGTTCAAACAGATGAAGTAAGTTGTTTTTTTTCTTGGCTGGCTATCTGGCGTCCCTTAATGTCATAGATAATGGCATATTTAGTATACTGCTTGTTCATATATTGAAAATCACTGCTGATTGTGTTATTGTTTGATAAGAAAATTCCTTAGCTAGTAGTTCCTTGCAATGAGTTCTGTTTCATTTAGTGGTTTGTTTGAACAAAGGGTCTCAAGTTATTCTATATCCTATAACCTATTATTTAAGATACTTAACATGTTTCACTTCACAGTAACGCTTACGATTGTTAACATTTTTCTCTACAACTTTACAGATCCCAGTTTCGCTTGAAAATCAAACAGTTGTATGTTGTGATCATGAAGATTTTCATTCTAACCATGCACAAGAATATATTCGTCGAACGTGTGTAATATCCACACCTAAACAAGAAGAGTCACCCAACTCAACATTTCTATCATCATCAGAGAGTGATGCACCTTGTGGAGCTGTCTCAGCTGAGCTTAATGTAATTGTTTGTTTTATATGTTTTTACAAATATATGATACATGTGAGATGTTATAGTTTATTTCTGAGATAGTTCTGCCTTAATATTTATGTATAGTACAATCGATTTACCGTATTGTATGAATTTGTAAGTTCATACGTCTGTGTGGTTATAAACCTGACAAACGGAGCACTTTGATTAGGTCTGCATCAGGTTTGTAAGAGCAGTTCTACTCTGCGCTTACCTAACTTGACCTGTTACTGTAAAGAATGTCATATCGTGTGCCTGTTCTCTTGTTTATGATAATACTATTTAATATGTCATGGTATGTGACACGTTACTTTACACCTGTGTTTCTTCCTATTTAGAAATTATCTAATCGTCTGAGAGAAGAGAGTATTCGACTTGCAACAGCGACCGCGATCGCAAGTGCTCGTCAGTCTGTCTGTGATAGACCAGAGAGTTTCGCTTTTATTAAACCAAGTGGTAATGAAGAAACCACCGTAAAAGTAGAAGACGATGAATGTGGCCCTTCGATTATTGAAATGCGTAATTCCTATGGTGATTTGAAGGCAGCGGTAAATGAAGTGACCAAAGTATGAATACTTTTGATGAATTTTTTCATGTGAATACAATTACTGTGTGTATGATTCTTATTGCAGTCATTTGTTATTTTAACTTTGAATTGTAGATTATACACAATAATCCATGGATTAGTAAGGAGCAATCTAACGATGAAGATAACGACGAGATAATGAAACGTTTCATGAGCCGACTATTAGTTTCATTAACTAAAGCTTTGGATACGGATGAGAAACTATGGGTTTCAGCAATCACCTCCTCGGTTGCCAAAACATGTGATAAACTTCGCAGTAGGACAACATTATCAGTTCCCAATTTAGGAGTGGAGTTCCCGTCAGGGAGTGTTTTATGCCAAATTATACAACAATTGACGGAACGAATATCATCTTTTATGCGTCGTGAAGATGAGGTATTATTTCTCTTGTTATTGTGTATATTCATTTTTGTAAAATACATCAATTTGATGATTGACCGATTAGTTTATTTATTGTTGTATTTTTGTGTAGTTTCGCAAATGTCTTATTGAAGTTCTTCATGTAGAAGAAGCTTCATTCAAATCTGAACTGAAGACTCATGTTAATCGTTCAGACGCTTTGATGGAGGAAAGTAAGTAGTTAATTTTGAATTTGAATAGTTAAGTGTTTAATAATCACCTGTTTAAATGTTGAAGACGAAATGAATATTTTTAATTGTCATTATTCATGTAATGTATTACTCAACCAGTCAAAGAGCTGCAATGTGCAACTTGGTACTGACGTCCATCATTTAAGGTTTCCATACCACATTAGCACAGGGAGATGGAATTGTCAATTCAAATGCTATAGTGATAGAGGTAGTAGAAATGTAAGTGGTAATGGGAAAGATTAGAAAGCGAAGATATGATTCGAGAAGTATGATCCAGTTAGGTAAATTTGGAAAGTGGAAAAGTGGCATGGGGAATTCAGAAGATGAGAGTTCGAGAGAAGACGAAGAATGGATGCATCTGCACCAAAGCAAACGATCTTGAGGCATGTCATTAAAAGTCTGTAACCATTGGTTACGATCGATTTGCTGACCACAACAAGTTAGTTAGTCAGTCAGTCAGTGAGTTATGTTTTCCTCACACTAATTCATGACCAACTTTAAATTTGACTGTTAATGTGTCTGATCCCAGTAATTCAATCATAATCTTTTCGTTTCAAATAAGGGTATTGATTTTATTGTTTTTTTACTAACTGCTTTCACTCCATAAATGGGTAGTTTTGCTTCCTCGAGATTTGATGTTGTACTCCGATTCAGTATTTGATGATGGGGGCATTTAGATGGATCAAGTATTTATCAGGAAAATTTATGCATAATCTGACTCTAACCTAATCTAAATTAGTTCTTTCAGCTTTGAAATACACATTTTTTGTGTAACTCAGTGCGACGACAGGACTTTTGATCGCAAACGATTTTGAGCCATGTCATTGAAGGTCTGTAACCGTCGATGACTTTCATCTCGCGGACCCCGATCAGGTAGCCTACATCTACTGACATGACTCATTCCACTTGTTAGTGACTTCATGGCTTTCTGCCATGTTTTGGTTTGGCCACCCCTAGCTTTCGTCCAATTTATTTTCACATCGCAAAACATAGCTCGTCTCGGTAGTCGGTGGCTGGGCATTCACAACACATGTCCCAACCACATAAAATGATGAAGTTTCACTACTTCCTCAAATGACCTGCCATCCTTACCTAGAACTCGTTTCCAAACGGCAGCATCGCTTACTCAGTTTTCCCTTGATACATGAGCAATGCTTCTAAGACATCTGTGATTGAATACTAGTGACCTATGAATATCTTCTATTCTTACAGGCCATGTTTCGCACCCGAATAGTAGAAAGGAGCGAACTGCTGCACAGTGCACTCGTCCTTCGGTTAGCGAACGGATATCTCGCCTGCGCCATAGATGACGCAAGCTGGCAAAAGCCAACCGAGCTCTCTGTATTCGTACTGAAACTTCATCAATCATCAGGCTATCAGCACTGATGAGACTCCCGAAATAAGTGGGGCGGTCGATACACTCAACTACTTCACTCCCTATCACTAGTTAAGGTGTCGGTGCAAGCCAACTTTGAAGCCGTGTTTTGGTTTGTCTACCTCCACTGTACTTCGAAACTACCCCTACATCACAAAGCATCCGTCGTCGACGAGTTCGTGATGAGGCATCTGTCACAATCACTCCGTTTGTTGATGACTCTAATTTGTTGTACGAAAGTATGATCTGACTCTGAACATGTACTCCAGAAAGAGCGACAGTCTTCTATCGATCCTCTTCGTTGCCGGCTGATAGTTATGGGGTTTTAAGAAGTTCTTCGTTTAGTTGACTTCGGGGGTCGTGATGTCAAAAGATGCTTTTCCTCAAGTTCAAATTTGGTGCTTGCTCTACAAAACAGTTGGTATTATCTATTCGAACAACAGGTGTCCCAATCATGTTCATGCTGATGTTTGTCGGATTCTGTTACCTAAGATTAACCAATTGTCGTGCTGTGTACCTCACTGGTTGACTAACATTAGAAATGTAGAGATACTTGCGTTTTGATTCGGTGGTTGATGAGCAACATATTTTCTGCAAGCCCGAAATATCCTAGTACCTACCGATCAGTAACTGCGTCCAAACTACAGAATTGCCAGGTGTGTTCCGAATGCAGACGAAGCAGAATGATCACTCTTCCTCACTGATTCTCATCGGTCACAAAGCTGATGTGAACATTTTGTGATGAGAATTGTATATTTGCAAATGGTTTAATTTTGTCGTTACAGCTTTTTGAATTTCAAATGTCTTTATTTTATGTAGTAATTATCTTCACATTTGTAAAATACGTTTATTTATTATCTTATATTTTCAACGTCAGTTAATCGTTTGACTAAAGTTGTAAGCTCATTGTCGGAAGAATTGAATCATGCAAATAATCGAACTAATGAAATGCAAAGTCAACTATGTGATACAAAAGTTGATCTAGTTCATACGAAGCATAAATTACAATTAAAGGAAGATGAAGTCGAACGTCAACGAACTGATGTTGAACAGTTAAGGTTAGTTAGTTTCAATAGATGACGTTGTTGTTGTTGTTGTCTCCATGTACGAGTGTGCTTGACTATATTGTAGATAAATGTGCTTTCCTTTGCTTCTCAATCTAGAATTGTGTACACATCTCTTTTGTTCTAATAGTCATTGACTAGAGACGTTTCTGTCGTTTAATGTCTTAATTGTGTGAACATCGATATCATATTTAAGATGATTAGTATTGTTTCATTGTTATTGTGTATACTTTAGGTTGTCACTGTTCGTCGCCAGCGGTTTTCCTTGATTATGAATTTTTCTAAGGCATCGTTTTCGTCAGAGACCAGCCAACTGATCATTAATGTGCCAACCGGTTTCTACTTGCTGTGATTATTAGTCTTACTCTATTTCTTTTGTCATGCAACGATTGTTTTGAGTAGAAGAATACTGACATCTAGTTCATTTGTTGAAACTGTTTTTCCACAGGCAATTCTAAGGTGGTCAATATTTTTCTGTATATTTGTTATCCTGCACAATAACGGATTTCGGCTTTATTTGAGTCTCATGCCTGTGAATGTTAGTTTGTTTGCGTTGATTTGATTTTGTAAAGCGTTGGGGTGTTGGTTACTTTGTTTTGAGTGTATCTTGTGTTCCTGATAAACTGGAACATGTTTATGTATCGTTCCTTCAAAGGTTTTTAAGGTTATGTTGAGTGAGTGAATTTTTGACTGGATCGCAGTTTAAATGCGTGTGGAGCATATCGTTCGTAAATTTCGAAGAAATTAGATTACTAGTTCTCTACAAGTTGAATCAAACGTGTTCAATTCCGGAAAAGCAAACTTACATATCCGAATGGGACGTATTCTGTTTTTCTATTTACTTATGACTCACGGTTTTTGTAGTATCACACAGTTTAAACGCTCATATTTCGCACGATCAACTTTTATTTATACATTAATTCAACTGAATTCACTTGAATTTTTTCATCTTTGTTATCCTGTCAACATTTCAGCTACTGTTTATGATATTCTTAAAACTTTATCATTGTTATAACTATTATCTCGATTAAAGCGAAATAATACTTTTCCTACAATCATAGATTATATTCACTTGGTTTATTTTTCATGTTGGTTGTAATTCCTCAATATCTGAAATCAAATTTTCCTACCGACCTTTCTTATCTACAAAACGACATATTTTGAACGTATATAAGCTCTGTGATCAATGCAAACGTCTGTCATTTGAACATGTTTACATCATCATTCAATTCAATAATTTAAGGAGATCCTTATCTCTCACTTGTTATTCATTGAATAGTATTAATAGTAAATTGCATAATTCGGTATAGAAATAAACCGTCACTATAATGAAACTAGATAAATGAAGATCTGATTTTTTTGTTCATTTCACATCTGGTTTTGTGTTCATCGTGCACATCAACAATTTTGATTATTCTACTTTCTCTCTCTCTTTCTCTCGATATCCACATACCTTTGTGTATTGTACAATTCCAGATTACAGCTGTGTGAGGAAAATGCACAAACAGAGAAATTTCGTTCGGAACTTGAAATGTTGCAGTCAGATAAAGTTCAAGTTGAACATGAATTGTCATCGACAAATAATTTAATTCAAGTAAATCTGTTTTCTTTCCTATCAATTATTGAACTGCCTCATGTTGATACTACATTTTTGAAATAACATGAAAATGTATAAAACGGGAGATAATTTTGCAAGTATTTTTATTAGGTTACATATTTTCACTAACTGTGCTGGAATGTTGTCTGGTCCAGCTGTTTTACCGCTCTTGATTTGTCTGATGGCCATGCTACTCTCTTCGATTGTAGGTGTGCCAACATCAATTGGAAGGTCAGTGGATGCCGCTCCGACGTTGCGTGGGTTCAGTGCAGCTAGTCGACTAAAGATTTCCTTAAAAAGCTCTACCGGCGTGTTCCTCTTTTCTTCATGTTTGTTGATGACTTTGCCTCCCTTGCTTTTCACTGTTCGAGTTGGTTTACAATAAGTTCCAGCGAGCCTCTCTGTTGTATGGTACAATTGTCTCACGTTTCCTTTTCTTGCAGCCTTTTCCGCCATCATTGCTAGATCTTGCACATATTTTCGTTTGTTGGCTCTGATGCTTTTCTTCACTTGCCTGTTTGGTTCTTTGTATTCAGTCTGTGCCTTAACTTTCTCTGCTCTTGTGCTGTTGACGTTAATTGGTGCCCTCTTGTTCCTCGTTTCTTGAATTTTGCCAAGAGAGTACCAACAGAGATCCATTCCTTGTGATGGTGCTTCTTGTGACCCAGAATATCCTGACATGTTGAAGTGATTGCTTGTTTGATCGCTCCCCAGTTGTACTCCATGGTTGTTTCGTCTCCATTGAGTATATCGTGCAAGGCCTGGAATCTATTGCTGAGGGCTATTTTGAATTTGTAGAGTTTTAAGGTATCCTGAAGAAAGGCCGTATTAGACTTCTGTGATGTTGTCTGTCCCGTTGTCCAGTGTTTCTTTAGTTCAGTTTCATTTTGGCGATCAGCAAGTGGTGATCTGAGTGTATATCAGGTCCTCTCTTAGTTTCCACTGCTACACGTTTATATACTTAGTTTCTAATCGCACATATGACGTTCGAATTAGTGATATCATACTAACTAAAATACATTATCTAGAATAGAATTTGAATCGAACATTTGACCGAATGGTTGGATATCAATTACTTCAACCACTGAACCAAAAGTTCACTGCAGAATTATGTACACTGCAAAAAGAAAAGAAGCGTTCAATGTGACATTATTTCAGTTTGTAAGTGAACTACGTCTCTCTCCGAACACTAAGTGTAACCATGGAGGACAAAAGATCGTTAAAAGCATTTTTTCCAAGTAGTTTCTGAAACGGTCGGTACCAATTAGGAAATACTCCTATTCAATGGTAGTTTTAGCCTAATGATTTAACTGTTACCGACAGTCGTAATTATGTTCTCATAGACTTTTTGAAAACATAGTTATATCCGAACGTCTTGAAGTATCGAAATTATTTGTGGCAGTTCCTCCAGTTTCTTTGACTTGTTTTCAATTATACATTTGCAGGAATTAAAAATATCATTGACAAATGAAAAGAATCGAGCTCAATCGTTGAAAATTCAATTGGATCAATTGCATGACCGAATTAAAAAGAACACTTATCAGTGAGTAGTATTTAGTTTGTTTTCACTCGAAATGTCTCTATTTTTAGCTTTATCGTGTTCTGTGTTGTCCAACACTAGACGTAATCTTTATATTTGATTCATTTATTAGAAGCCGATATTACTTATATATACCATGGTTTTATATTATTATTAGTAGTAGTATTGTCATTAAAACTAATAATCTTAATGATTTCTTAATATCAATTTTATTATTATTATCATTGCTATTATTAGTAAACGAGTAAAAAGTTTGTATTTGCTTATATTTATTCGTTAGGTTCATTGACCAGAAAATAAAAAGATTTCACGTTGTCGTCAGAAGTTAAACGAACACCTAGGTACGCCTTATAGCGTTCGATTTGGTTTTTCGCAACCGGTTGTATTCTGCCTAATGAAAACGACTATGAAATGCTTTGGTTTTCCACTATAAGTTTCTAATGTACACCGTAGAAAACTGATCACTGCATTTGTTTAGTGTATACCTGAAATGTGTGACTTGTGATATTTGAGAGGATAAACGGATGTTGAAAACATTTATGTTCTTCCACCAGAGTTTCCTAATATTTCTTGTATATTATCATTTACCAAGCTGCTTATTTAATTTAGTTAGTTCGCTGTCGTGAACTAGCAATCGATCCCTAGTGGGATCTTAGATGTTCACTGTTGAGTAGTAGTAGTTCAATACTAAAACAAAACAGCCGAATAATGCTTCTTGTTTTCCAGTGGTGACCAACTGACCAGCGTCAACTTGGTGAATCGTCCATTTCTTGTAAGGTCAAATACGAGCACACTTTTGTGTATTGCGCTGTTAGTCTCTAATTTTTTCTAATCCTACCTGGTTTGCTGATTTCTACTCTCACTCTTCTTACTTTGTCAGCACTACACTAACGCCAAGTAATATTGATAAGAATAATATTGACTTTAGTAGCGAAAATCTAACTGGGACTAATGAAAATAGAGCACCTAATGGTTGTTCATCAGATCTCGATCTACGTGCCCATGAAGCTCTAAATCTTACTACTACTCGCTTAGCATCTAGTCGACATGATGCAATAAAGTTAATAGATCAAGTCAAGGAACTACAGGTAGTGTAAATAGTGTTCCTGTTGTTCTTCATTGTTGATATTTTTATTGTTTTCGTTTAAAAGATGTACCTTGAGTAAATTTTAAATGGTTTGTTTGTTTGTTCTATATTGTTTACTTACTTTGTGGTTTCATACAGACTTGTGTCAGAAATTTCCATATACATAACTAGTTTGTATATTTCGCTTCTCTGTCTCTAAAAGCGTTTTACCCCGCAACAATGACTGTTCACATGTGACTACATTTTGCAACGGTAATTTTTGCAAATTAAAACAATGCAATAGCCGGTTGAAACATTTGAGTCTCAACTATTTAGATACAGGTGTTTAAATCCCTTCTCCATTCCTTCACAATTTGAGCAAATGTATAATATCACTAGCTGTCAGACACAGTATGGTCAGAAAGCGACTACAAGTAAATGAACCACATTTATTTACAAAGAGTTGATTGACTTTATTTTTTACTGCTTTCTATTCAGGCTACTGCTCATGGTCTACGTTCAGATCTTGCTGAAGCGAAGCTTCGCCTTATACCCTCTTTGACATCTGTATTGCCCGATACTTTCAATCGTTCTAATATGGATAAAGCATCACAATCCTTAATGATTAAACAGTCTATTTTAAAGAAAGAACTGCCAGTTTATGAAAATCAACCGGAATTGATAAGAGCCAAGTTTTCTGAGCTAAAAAGTGCTTGTGCAGATTTACTACAACGTGTTTCAATGGATGAACGTGATGATGATGACGATGATCTACAAGAGAGAGATGTAGTTAATCGGAAATCTTATTTTCATTCGTCAGATGATGATACTATCGAAGGGAATAATCGCATTGAATCTGGAATAATGCATTCGTTCAGATGTCTGGTTGATGGTCATTGTATTGATGCTAAACTCGATGAATGCTCATTTAACAAAAGTACCAATATTAGTGAAATGCTGAATTTAGCATCATGCTAATCAATCACAGTATCACCCTAGTTGTGATAATCGGTAAAGTTCAAACAGCAAAATGTACCTGTGTGTCTTTTTTACATCTACATTCGGATTCAGTTTTCACATGACTATTGGATGTTGACTGTTTATTTCAAAACGCAAGTGTACACAATGCTGGCAATTATGTGTAACTAGATTTTAAATAAAAATAATTAATTCAGGTAAATAAATATGTCTACTATATAAAACGAATTGCTCTAAATGTGCAGGCTATTGATTAGATTAGGAGATTTATTTTTTTCTGAGAGCTTTCGAATACTTATTCGTTCCATACACACACAGTTGGATCAACATGAACACTTGGAAGTCCTAGTTTTCATTTGACTAGCAGATTTAAGATGATCCTGATTAATTTACAAACACAAGTGTATGCAATTTATGGAAAATTGTGTCAAGTAAACCATTTAAAAATTATCAGGCACGCAATGGACACAATGTCAGAGAATTATTTTTTCACTTGACTTTATGAATTGACTTAATTTAAAACCAGTTCGACATTATTCCCAGCATTGCATACATGTGTGATTTTTAATTTATCAGGTTTACTCTACCTACATGCAATAGTCATTTGAAAACTTGTAGCGGTAGATATTCGATGCAATCTTAAACTTCGTATGTCACCGCGCTAACATCCTTTACTATACAACGAGATTCGTCGTGATTCACTGTATTATTTGTGAAAATATAACGATCAATATAATTATCGGATTTATTACAAATTTAAGTTATTCAATACTGCTATCGATATATTTGAATCATAATTGAATCAAGATAGTGGAATGACGATTTGCGTAGGCAGTAAGCCATGCCCAAGTTATACATGCTCATACAAGCTCAACAATAAGAAAAGTACAAAATGTATGCCCCTCTGCAGCAAACAAAAATACAAGAGTCTGTGCCTGCGAAAATAAAATCTTAATTGTAATATAAGATGGAAAATATCGAAATTCACAAAATCAAGATGTATGACAAAGCTGTGGTATTCGTTTAAGCTTGAGTTGGAATACGCAAAACATATCGGATTCAATGATAGATAATTTAAAATCTTCGATTTGCATAAATAAAACGAAGAATTAGAAAATTTTATATTCGTAGAGGCGAAAGAAATGATTAAGCTGCAGCAATCCAGTCGTTATTAGATTTTCTTCGTTTTCCTTTGTTGCTGTTGCTGATGGTTGCAACTCGTGTTTCAGTGATTCAACGGTTTTCGAAGGATTTGTGCTTTTTAACTGATCGGCTGATGCTACCGACATCCATTTTTCAAGCTTTATCTACCGTAATAGTTAATATTTCCTCTGACTACTTTAACTAGACCATCGCAAGTCAGTTTTAAGGGACGTTGCACATTATCTCTTTTGATAAATACATGGGTACTGTCGTCCGGTTGCATCGGAGTGTAGACCGAATGTTGATTTTTCCTTGGAAGCGCCATCCCTAGATCACTCATTTGCTCTTTTAGACATTATTGGCTGTATCAGTTAAAACACTTTTAGTGAGGTTAAGAACTCTCTTTTTAGAATAAAGTATTTTAATAAACCAATTCAGGAAGGTAACATCCTATATCTTGTTTAACTGTTGATCTCAAACTCAACGTGACCAATGTGAGCTTGCTGGTCCGATCATTAGTGCTAATAACAGCTATGGGAGAGGCTTTAAGCTACCGATGTGATCTCTTTACCATACTATTTATTCGCCATTGGACGTTAGGATGTCGTGCGAATAAGTTTGTTTCCTAGGAGTTACGTGAGTTGTTGGATGAGCCTTCTTATGAATAGAGTTGCTCTATCTTATGCAATATCAGTAGGTTCGTCATAATAAGCGATCCGATGCTCAACTAAATTTTTCGCTCATAGTCTCTGCCGAAGTGTCTTTTATGAATACCGCTGCAGGTAAATACATACCTGAAGCCATTTAAAATCGGCAGTGGTCCCAAAATATGGATATGTATATGCTCAAATTTGCTGTCCGGTTGACAGAAAGGACCAACTGCTGCGGAACTGGTGTGGGGATGAACTTTCTGACATTTTATACATGCTTGTGTCCAATTACGAACATCACGGTTGATGCTTGGCCATACAAAGCTCGCTGATTAGGTTGATCGTGGTCTTCAGGCCGGGAAGTGATATATTATGCACAGCTTCACAAAAAATTTCTCGTCGAAACGGCTTTGGAATCAACGATTTCGGTCGGCCTGTAGAGACATCACACGTTATGCTTACCTTGACTGGTCTTAGCCTGCTTAGTTAGCTCACCATCCATAGTTTGTAATGCTACTAGTTTATGATAATCGGTTTTAGATTGGATGAGAGCAATTATTGTGGTTCTTGACAATGCATCCGCTACTTCATTATGATGGCCCTTAGGATATTGTCTGCTAGATGCGAATTGTGAAATAGGTTCTAACTCGAATTTCTCTCGGCGAATGGTTATCCAGTTTGGCGTTTAATACTTTCGGGAGGGTTTTATGATCTTCGTACGCTGTGAAAATCGTACCCTCAAGCATGGAAATGCTTTATTGCCAACTAAATGGCTAAAAGTTCTCTTTCAAACGTACTATGCCTCCTTTGAGTGAGATCTTTTCTCTAAGAAAAATGAAAGTAGTTCCCATTTACTAAGTAGGAATTTCTGCAGTACGACTCCAACAGCTATGTTTGATGCGTCAGTCATGACGGCTAGTGATGCTTTGCTCCTTCGTTATACTAACATTGTCTTTCCACGTGCTTAGAGTTGCCGAATGATTGCATAGCGTCTGCTGATAGATGAAATGTCCAGGCCTGCCCTGTAAAAGCGTGCGCCAACGGCTATGTAGTTTGAAATAAATCGTTTGTAATAGTTTATTTGCCCCAGGAACCGTCATAATTTTCTTTGTTATTCGGGCAACAGGTTACCACGAATAGCTGCAACTTCTGCCGGAACTGTCATGAAACCTTGAGAATTTATCATATGACCAGGGGTTTGCAGTGATTACTAACAACTCCACACTTCCTAACGTTTATGGCAACACCAGGGGGGAGTTTGTTTGTTAAAGGATCTATAATCTGATTGGTCCATACATTTTTGAACCATGTGCAAAGGGAATGCCAAGGGATCGCTTGACGGCCTTATTGTACCGAATTTCATTAATTTGTCGAATTCTTGTTTCACTACTTTTAACCTTTTTGGGTCCAGCCTTCGTGGTCTTGCTTCGCTGGGTGGGCCTTTCGTTACAATTTTTTGCTGCACTGTATGTTTAAGATCATTGCTTTCGAATGATATCAAATCGGAATACTCATTTAGAAGCGACTTTATGGATCGCTTATATCATTTGACACTAGTAAATTCATAGGTGCTTGGTTAATGATTACTCCTTTTTCACCACCATACGGTTTCTGTTCAAGACGTGGTTTCATTGCGAATCTTCTAATACGTGTTTTCATGTCCGATTAATTTGTCATTACTGTTATCGATTTTTTTAAACCAATTCAATAAAGATAGTGGAATGACGATATGCGTAGGCTGTAAGCCATGCCCAAGCATACATGATCGTACAGGCTCAACAATAACAAAGCTACCCAAACTATAGATTAATTTGTAAATGTGACAAATTTAAGTAGGTCTAATAACGCTGTCAAAACTTTACCTGTTATGACCACTAGTGTGATATCATCCTCCCTAGGTGTTCGTGTTAATCCAATAGCGCATAAAGAACGAGTGAAAATTCGAAAAATCTCAGTAATAATAAATCAATTAATCTAATTCTTTACTTGCATATTTCTCACAATTTGTTTTAGATATTAGATATGTTTCTTTACGTGTACAAGATAATTCATGGTTCGTACTTCCTTTACTAGCATCGGCTATTAATTTACTGTTTGAAATGATTGTTTTACTTTCTTAGTGTGATGATGTTGCTAAATGTATACGCGAATTTAGGTGACTATGTCATATTCATTCGGAATATAATCCGAATTCGCTAGAGATCAGATAGATAATACAACTATTCAATGAATTACTATTATTAACATTTTGTTAGTATTCAGGTAATGAATGATGAATAATGACAAGAATGATAACCATGGTAATTGACTGCTTTTTGAATAAAGTGTATGAGATACATTTTGATTTTGTCTGATGTTCCAAAAAATATGTTTCGAAATGATGAAAAATATTTGTTGTTCAGAATGTGGATGTCAGAGGAGTTGATTCCAGCTCAGAGAACACTAGAAGTTCAACGAAGTGGTCAGAATAACTATTCTTGTTATTTACTTTACCTTTACAACTAAGTTTGTAATATCAATGTCTTTTTTTTGTTCTACGACGAAGCTGTTATCCCTTTTTAAGCTAATTGTCTGTCCCACCAATAATGCAATTTTGTAAATGGATGCAACAACTCCATCAATTCCAAATAGGCTCTTTAGTTCTACTTTGGATAGTGCTAACCAAACTAATCGAATTTTCAACGGATGTGTAAGAACGCCTTTGAAAGAATTGCATGCGGAAGAATCCAACAATACATATCCTTCCGTACTACAAAATTCGTCTAATTTAAATGAGAAAAAATATTTATCACATTACTCGGTTACTACTCCTAGAATATCACAATTTCAAACCTCCTCCAGTGGCTACAGTTCATTGTTGGAAAAACCAACAGACTCTACCGGTTCTTCACGTCGACAGTACATTAATTTTTGTGTATACTGTTAAATTATCTGTGTTGTAGATAGTAGCAGACGGTAGAAAATATATCAGTCTAAAAAACGATCAGTATACATTTGTTTCACTTTGATGTACAGGTCCAAGGTAATTAATTCAGTGTTTTGAGCTCGTTATACTAACGGAATAGTCGTCACGCGTTGGCGGCCGACGGTGCTAATTACACATTGTTGTAACCTGGTGCGAACACTCCTTGAAGGTCATCTATGGCTAAGCACAGAAGGTCACTAAACATCCATAGCTGTGAGGCATCAGTTGCCACATGAACAGACCAGAACTGCAGTCACTCACACTTTGTACACGCGACACTTTACAACCAGACTTTCACTGTTCTTAGATTGATCCTATCTGCCATGTCAAACACTAACACATGCACAGCCAATTCGATACACAAGATGTCCGACTGAGACTACTGTCAAATTACAAGAATAAGGATGTTTAAACTCAGTCAATCAATTTTCGATTCCTTC